TACAGAGTCAGCATATTGCCCCCAACAATCCAGGTCCTCATTTCACCCACCTCGGAAGCTTGGAAGGCTGAGTCAACCTTGAGCCAGTGAGATTTGAACAGCCGAACTGCAGAACTGCAGTCAGCTGAAGTAGCCTGCAGTGCTGCACTCTAACCACTGTGCCACCTCGGCTCATAAATAACTCAAAAGGTAACGAACATATATAATACTCAATGGTGGGATGCTGCCGGTTTAACAACCGGTTCAGTGAGTGTGCGCTTTGTGTGCGCATGTGCCTAAAGCACTTGTGCGCAGTGCTGAAAATGGAGCATTTAGAAGCTCAGCTGCTTACCTTCCAAGTCAGCAACAATAAGTAGAACAGTGAGGGGGAGGGGAAATCAGCTGTGCCGCGCGATTGAATGAGATAGAAAGCAGGAAATAAAGGATAGGATAGAGTGGAGGCGGCTGGGCAGGGCCAACTGATTGTCGGAACTACCGGTTCACCCAAACCGGTCCGAACCGACTAAATATTACCTCTGATAATACTCCTTCCTCCTATTTGCATTTTGAACACAATAACAACTCTGTGAAATGGAGAGTGTTGACTAGGAGAAAGGGAGTGGCCCGAGGTCACTTAGTTTGTTTTCGTACCTCAGGCAGGACTAGAACTCATACTCTCCTGGTTCCTAGGCTGATGCTTTAACCGTTAGGCTAAACTGGCTCAACCAATTGCCTTAAGTACTTGACCAAACTAGACCAAATTGGTTTGATGATTGTTGGGTCTTCTTTACTCAGCTTACTCAGCTTTCTGGGTTGAGAGCAGGCTGAGATATTAGGCGGAGAGCAAAAATGTGAAATATTAATAGTTACTTATGGCTGATATAAGCTGCCTTGTATAATTCAGATTTATGGAAAATAAACAATCTAAACATTCTAGAGATGTTTCAGTTTGTCCAGTTCCTGATGCTCATTTATATTACGAATAGAATCGTAGACTAGTGATGAATTGTCCACAGTTTCTGAAGGCAAGCTATTCCGCTGGTTAATTGTTCTCACTATTAGGAAATTTCTCTTTATTTCCAAGTTGCTTCTCTCTCATTGTTTCTTGTCCTGCCCTCTGGTGCTTTGGAGAATAATTTGACCCCCTCTTCTTTGTGGCAGCCCCTCAAATATTGGAATACTGCCATCATGTAACCCCTTATTTTCTCTAGATTAGCCAAACCCAAATCCTGCAACTGTTCTTCATATATTTTAGTCTCCAGGTCTTTGATCATCTTAGTTGCTCTTCTCTGAACTTTTCCCAAATTCTTAATGATATTTCCCCCAAATATTCTTCCCTGTCTGAAATCATTAACTGAAGTTTTGCACGTTTAGCTAATGAAGTTGGAGCCCAAAACTCAGCAAGTTAACAGATCTATTAACCATCTCATAATGTTATGTGAACGAGTAGACTATACCTAGGGACACGGTGGCTCAGTGGCTAAGACGCTGAGCTTGTTGATCAGAAAGGTCAGCAGTTTGGCCATTCAAATCCCTAGAGCTACGTAACGGAGTCAGCTCCCATTACTTGTCCCAGCTTCTGCCAACCTAGCAGTTCGAAAGCATATAAAAATGCAAGTAGAAATGTAGAAGCCATCTTTGTTGGGAAGGTAACAGCATTCCGTGAGCCTTCGGCGTCTTGTCATGCCGGCCACATGAACACGGAGACGTCTTTGGACAGCGCTGTCTCTTCGGCTTTGAAATGGAGATGAGCCCCTCTCCGTAGAATCAGGAAAGACTAGCACACATGTGTGAGGGGAACCTTTACCTTTAAGACTCTACCTGGGTGAGAATATTTGTGATCTGTTCTCAGCATTTTTTTGCAAATATTTTACATGGTGATTGTCCTTCATCCTGATGTAAACTATGCTTTTTTTTTCTAAGTGGGTTATCTCTTTCTATGCAATTGTTGAACTTCCAAACATCTTTTTCTGTGATAGTACCGAGGCCTGAGAATAGCTAAATGCGTGCTATTGTTTTAGTCTTTACTTGCTTAATTTTTACTTCCTGATTATCTTGGATTCTTCAGGTCTCTTGAACTACAATACGGTTGGACTACTATTTCCAACTAGCCAAGTGCCATGTTGCCTGGGAATTATTATGCAGTCCAGTACACCTGGAGCACATCTGGTGGGAAATGCTATTGCTGGTCTCTTTTGATGATGTTTTCTTGATTTATGGCACTACATTTGATCAAATACTTGTATCAGAGATACAGAGATGATGATTATTTGTATCAAAATGGTGATTTTTTTGGTCCTAACATTTTCTTTACCTTGCTCCATTTCTTCCCTGATTCTTCTTCCTTACACAGAATTTCTACCCTTAAGAGTCAGAATTGATTATGTTTGGAGCTGTTTTATAAGCATTGTAAAATGAATGAATGGATGAAAGAATGGCTGGGTGAGCTGTGAAGTGAACAACCCCAACATATAAATTCTTGCTTCAAAAATTATGTACCTTTTTGACTTTTCAATACTTCTGCATAAATATGACCCAGAATTTAATCTGTTCTCCATACAAGTTGTATAACTAGATAGAGAGAACCCAACTGAACAAATGAGTCAAGGAAAATAACTCTTGTTCATTGATTTATTGAGGAAAATGAATGGAAGTATGGAAAAACCTTAATATTGTCCCTCTGCTTTTGCAGGGATACCTACAACCTCTTTGTCTCTGAAGGAATCCTTGCCAACACCTTGGGCCTCCTAATAATAGCTTTTGGGGCAGTTGTGGGTTACATCTTAACCCGGGAAGAATGGCGGAGACCCCCGTTGGCTGAGGAGCTGGCATTGTCCATGGATTTCAAAAACCTCACTGAAGAAGGAAGTCCAACAAGTACACACTGAGGCTTGCTGTGCCATCTGCATTGAGGAGCTGTGTTTCTATGTGGTATCTGACCTGTCGCGTAGCATCATGCAATTGCCACTGTTACACATATGTAAGCAGTCTTTTTGTTTCATGACTCCCATTGCACCATGTTTCATATGTTCACACTGTTTTCTTCAAAGGCTACTATAAATGTAGCACAGTGAAAAGGATTTGTGGCCCCTGAACTGTGTCAGTCATTTGTGTAAGTGGAGATTATTTGTCATGTGCCCTGTTGAATAAAAGCATGACAAGAATTCCGGGTATTATTAGGCCATAGGATTAAATCAAGAACGGGCAATTTTGGGAGGACAGAGATTGCACTTTTGAGGTATCAAAGCCACAATAAAAAAGGAGGTGAGACTGGGATTTTGGTGACTTCATTTTATGTATCCTGGTTTGTATGTATATTTAATTTGGGGGAATATGATAAACCTATCAATCATCTTGCACACATTTTGTTTTCCTTCCTGCTGATAATAATCAGAAATCAAATATCTTTATTACAGTCTTTGACCAGCATTTAATAGGACAAAATAGCACCTCTCTTTTCTTTGGCAATTTGCTGCTAAATTTCAGTAGTAATTTTGAGGGCTTCTGAAAAGTGCAAGAAATTCAGAAGGTGCTTATGGACCAGGAGCCACCGGCTCATGTGTTAGTTGCTGTTAGAGGATTGTTGGCAACCTCAATTGGATCAGATGTTAGGAAGATAACAGCTTCTGAAATTATAACATTGACAGATCAATAGCAAATACAATTTCAAATGAAGATTGATCATTCAGTGTCATAAGTATCCATATAGTTTTTCCACATGTTTCCATGAAGAAATTAAAGTCAGTAGAGGATAGGATAGAAAACAGAAGTGTCTCTTTTGCAATTCAACATCCATTTTTCTTCTGCCAGCAGATATTTAATTGAAATGCCTGTTCTTTCTGTCATCATTGCCTTGAGAACTATCAGATTTGACTTTGTTGACTTCTGCACTTACTGTTAAATAATCTCTCTGCAATGTGTGTGGACAAAAGCCTTTCATTTGATATATATAAAAAGGGAGTAGATTTGGGATTCTTTTAGGAAAGGAATACCAATTCAATTAATTCCCGTAAAACTGAGTTTATACATGATCATAAACTAACTTTTCCCATATTGGCTGAGAATTTTGGGAAAGAGATTTTAAAGATAGCAGAGAGAAAAGCTTTTTCGGTGTAGCTGTCTTTCTTCTCTGCCTTTTCTAAATGATGAAAAGTTTTGAAAAACCAGAAGGATTGTTCAAGAAATATTGGAGGCCTCCACTTTCTTTCTGGGCAATTATGGAGATATTCAGTCCATCCATCGTAAAAACAAAAAAGATATTTACCTCAAATATTTTTCATAATGTAGCTAGAAGAATACTTAGCTAACAAAGATGAAGGCACTTCACAAATGCCAAGTGTTACTTGGGAATTACGCATTTTATCAAGTACTCATTGATTTTTCTTAACAAGGCAGATTCCAAATGTTTAACAGAGTCAAAGGGGAGAGTGATCTACTTCTTTAAGCAACGACTTTTACTTAACAATGTATTGCCTCGAAACAACTTTCTCTTATTCTGGAATTGTTTTGCTTGTGTTTGACACGTAAGCTGGATTCCAATAAATATTTGCAGCAAAAAAGAACAAAAACCCTGACTCTTGTTTGTATTTTACATGACTCAACCAAGTGGTTTAGTCTTCTTTTGTGTTTTCAAAATTCTCCAACCACACCCAAACCTGGTCCACAAGTCATACTAAAAATGTGACATTTCCCAACAATCTCCTTACTGTCTCCTGAAACGCCACAGCCCTTCTCATGGGTGTGTGGCTGGCCTCACTAAAGACCACAGCTGAATGTTGTGAGTTAGAAAAAGCCTCTTTTTCTGACAACAGCTCCCAAGGGTGGCCAGAGGGATTGTAGAGAGACGAAATCAAAAAGCACCACAAGGAGGCAGCAAAAGCTGTTCAGAAGTTCATCCTGAGCAGAATGTGAAATCTTTCCAGAGACTCTTCAGTAATTTCTGCCTAATAGGAGGAGGAAAGAAAGAGCAGAATTCTGGGCAGGATACAGGGCTCATCTTAGGATACACAAAGCATTTCCTTCCTGAGCAGCTACCTACATCTAAATGCAAATTAGGGTCACAACCTCAAATAGAGGATAGAGCAAAACAGCAATGCTGCAAAGGTCCCCTTCCTCAAGAAAAAAAATATATCTTATTTTTACACTTGGTTGGAGGAAATGTCCTTCTGGGTTCAGTTCCAAGTGGGGAAAATGACACTGGAAACATGGAGGCTGTTTGGAAAGATGGTTTTAGTGGTGGACAGGATCACATGCCTTGAAGACATTGGGTGAATGAAAAAAAAAAAAGGAAGAGAGCCTGAGTTTTATACCCTCTCTGGGCTTTTGAATTTGAGCTTGTATTCTGATTGGTTGTCAGACTCTCATGGGGCCATGCAGGGACAACTCTGTAGGCCAGTGATCGCGAACCTTTTAGACACCATATGCCCAAACTTAAAGGTGTGTGCACAGACCTGAATATGCACATGCATGGAGATGCACCAACATGCGCATGCACAGACATGCACAGCAGAGACCTGAAGACTAGCTGGCTGGTGGGAGGCAGGGCATCCCAGCACTGGCAGCGCAGCAAGAGCTAAGATCTTTTTCTTTCGTGAGCTTCTGTTCTGTCGTTTGCAGGGAATAGCAGTAGACTTATATACCGCTTCATAGGCCTTTCAGGCCTCTCTAAGCGGTTTACAGAGAGTCAGCATATTGCCCCCAACAATCTGGGTCCTCATTTTACCCACCTCGGAAGGATGGAAGGCTGAGTCAACCCTGAGCCGGTGAGATTTGAACCGCTGACCTGCTGATCTAGCAGTAGCCTGCAGTGCTGCATTTAACCACTGCGCCACCTTGGCTCACCAAGGAGCCAAACATAAGCTCACCAAAGAAACACCATGGAGATCTGATTTGGGGTGGCGGTGTGCGTGCCAGCAGAGAGGGCTTTGCATGCCACGTGCATGCCACGTGTGTCATAGGTTCGTCATCACAGTTGAGTCCCAGGCATGGTTGAACCATGGGGGAGACATGATAGCAGTGTTCCAATATCTCAGGGGTTGCCACAAAGAAGAGGGAGTCAAACTATTTTCCAAGGCACCTGAGGGTAGAACAAGAAGCAATGGGTGGAAACTAATCAAAGGGAGAAGCAACTTAGAACTGAGGAGAAATTTCCTGACAGAACAATTAATCAGTGGAAAAGCTTGCCTCCAGAAGTTATGAATGCCCCAACACTGGAAGTCTTTAAGAAGATGTTGGATAGCCATCTGTCTGAAATGGTATAGGGTTTCCTGCCTAGGCAGGGGGTTGGACTAGAAGACCTCCAAGGTCCCTTCCAACTCTGGTATTGTATTGTATTGTATTGTATTGTTGTTGTTGATTTTGTTGTTGATTTTATTTATATGCCGCCCTTTCCCCCCGAAGAGGACTCAGGGCAGCTCACAACTCAAACCAGGGAAAGGGGGATACAGACAAAATTAAAAACGACACAAAACAATGTATGGTTTAAAACACACAACAGTCATACCATTCGAGACGGGGGCAACGGTTCTTTAGCCCCAGGCCTGTCGGAACAGCCAGGTTTTAAGGGCTTTGCGGAAGGCCTGGAGGGTGGTGAGGGTTCGAATCTCCACGGGGAGTTCGTTCCAGAGGGTCGGAGCAGCCACAGAGAAGGCTCTCCTCCGGGTAGTCGCCAGTCAACACTGGCCGGTGGATGGAATTCGGAGGAGGCCTAATCTGTGGGATCTAATCGGTCTAGTGGAGGTAATTGGCAGCAGGCGGTCTCTCAAGTACCCAGGTCCAGTATTGATTCCTCATCTTACAATTTACTCATGCATATTTATTAATTCAATTTAGGTTATTCAAATTGATGAAAGTTTCTCCTCGATAATTCTATGTAAATGAAGCCATTTATTCTATCACTGGATTTTAGCTTGTCCCTCAAGACAGGAAAAAAATAAAAATGATTGTACAGGTTTAAAATAGTTCTAATGAGTTAAAACAGCAAACCAATCCTTAACATAACATCTGGAAAATTCAGTCAGGCTGGTTGGGGAATTCTGGGAGTTGAAGTCCATACATTGCTGGTTGAGAAACATTTGTTTAGATCACATGTGTCAAACTTGTGATGTCACATTGCCGTCATGTGATGTATTGTGATGTTTCCCCCTTTTGCAGAGCTGATGTGGCCCTGGCTTGTGCATGACACATCTGGCCTGCAGGTCGCCAGTTTTACACCCCTGGTTTAAACTATGGGCAGGCCTACAATTAAGCCTAGGGAGGCAGTTTTCATAGGCAGCATATTTTAGGTATCAAGGAAGGACAGCATAGTACTCTCCTTCTGTTTCATTGTATTTTTAGAGCTATGGATGGGTAGAGGTATTTAGGAGATTTTATGCCTCATATATTATGGGCATGATGCACCTTAATTTGAGTTCAGGTACATTTACTACTTTGCCTGAGGTGACAACCTTGTTTAAAATACTTTTATATTTTAGAAAACACACCGTGGTATTAAAATTCACAGATGATTTGGTGGTTTAGAGAAGAAGAATTATATTCAAAGAGAAAGGATAAACAAAGGAACAATAGACAAACTCATCCAAAATGGAGTTTTGTGGAAAAAGAACAGTGAAAAGAATTGGGCAAAACTTTGAGTACATCCATAATAAGATCAAGATTCAAAGAAGAACTGATTAACTGATCTGTGAAGTATGCATGATTGACTTTCTTGAGTCCTGGAAAATCTTTCTTTCAGCAAACAAAGGACTCTGTTTTCCTATTCATTTTTCCCAAGGAAGACTTTTAAGATGAATCACAAAGTCGAATCAACACACATGCCGAATTAGGACTAGTTTGTTACCCTTAGGGCTGCAAGACTGAAGCTTTTTCATCAACCCCTAAAAAAAGTCTCTAGTGATGATGATAAGGATCTGTTTGCCATTAAACAAAAACATGTTTTTGTATTAAAACTACAGCAATAAATCTTTCCTGCAAAACAGAATTGTGAACAGAGTTGTGATACAAAACAACAACAACAACAACAACAATAAACCAGCAGTGGTAATTGGCACACTGGGTACTATTCCAAAA